CCCCCCCCCCCCCCGCGACTGGAAAGGATGCCGAGAGTTTCGTTTGTCCCCATCCACGGTAGATCTTGACCGCAAACGACGGCAGACTGCTGTTGGCTCTCTAATATCGCTTCGAGCACAGGACACACGTGCGTTGATCCTCCGCTCCTTCTGCTGACTCCGGCGGTCCATTGACGCACGTGCGAAAGGCAAAGAGTGGTCACGCGAGGATACAGCCACACTCGACCTGTGGCCTTGAAGGCGAACGACTACTGTACAGATAAACATCGGCTGCTGCGGTCGTAGATGCCCACTTTTACAATGCCCCCCACCCCCCCTTTGTTGTTAATCCTTATCCTTGTGAAACGCAGCCTGAACCGGCGAAAACCCGGCATTTCGCTCCGTCCCGACATGGTAGGGATGCGAAGTCAATGGTCTGCAAACGATTACGGCATGCGTTTTCACGAGTGCACCCCCCCCCCTTACTATTCACGTGCCTCCGCCGCACTTCTTCTGCATCGGCATTCTTTGCCCGCCCAGGAGAAACGCGGGAACCCGCTGACCTTCCTGCTAGTCCTAAACTCCGGGCACATGGTCCCGCTCGACCAACCGCGCGCCGCCCTGGACATGCTCAAGCGGTTCCTCTCTGGGGACGCGTTTTCCGACGGCGAGCAGACCCTTGTCAGCGTCGGGCCCTGCCACCCCGGCGACGAAGATTGCGACGATGCGGAACTCCCCGCCGACTTCCACCCCGCCGTCGCGCTCGTCCCCGGTACCGGCGGCGGCGGCGGCGGCGGCGGTGGCGGCGGAGCAACCCCGCCCGCTCCGAGGGTCGTAGGCACGCCCGTGGTGCGGCGGGACTCGGCCGTCGTGGAGTTTGTGCCCGGTGACGAGCAGGACGGGGCAGGAGGGGCTTCGCTTGCCGCTACCGGCGGCGCCGGCGGCGCCGGCGAGGCTGCGGTCGTCTTGTTCGAGGTGCGCAGCAGCCCGGACGGGCTCGTGGGAACCGGCCCAACGTCGCCAGTGGTTGTGGAGGGGCTCACCCCCGGCAGGACGTACACGTTCGCCGTCACCGCTGTCTACGCGGAGGCGGGGGCGGCGGCAGGCGAGGGGGGCGGGGCGCGCTCGGTCCCTTCGGTGGGGTCCCCGGCGGTAACCCCGGGCTGCGGCCAAGACGGCGGTGGCGCGTGCGGCGGGCGCGGATCGTGCAGGGAAGGAGGGCACGAGGGCATCTGCGTCTGCGAAAACGGGTACGGCGGGGACGTGTGCGACGTCCTGTTGGCGGCCGGCGGCGGGCTGAAGGGCGGCGGCGGCGGCGGCAGCAGCGGGGGGTCGTTCGTCGGTCCGGACGGGTACGCGGGTGATATCAAGCTCTTGCTGGAGGACGACATCCCTATGCTCAAGAGCACAGCAGCGACGGTGTGTTTCCGGAGGGGGGTGGGGAGGTGGGGGGNCGGCGAGTCGCATGAAGGGTGCGCTGCATCCTGCGAAGGGTGTTCGGCATTTTGTGCTTACTTCCTTGCATACGGATGACAGCTGCGTATGACTTATTTTATTTTCTGGTGCTTTCACTTCCAGAGACAGTTGTATGCACTGTGTAACTGCCTCGAGGATGCTTTACCTTTCTAACACAACGTGGTGCGATCATCCCCCTTCCGCGGAGTGAGGGTTCTCCACCCCGCACAACATGATCTACTCGACCACCATTCATGGGTGGGGGGGAGGGAGGGGGGCATTAGGGGGGCCGTGCTGTTTTCTCTCCTGCGTGGCCCCGCTGTCGGCAGAGATGAGCGAGGTGGAAGCAAGAGAGCCAGCCGCCTGTTTTTTTTGCTGTTTTGTTGTTGTTCATCATTTTATATTGAGCTCACAACTCAGCATTTCTGGCGGGTACGAGGTATTACTCGATTGCTCCAATCCGTGGTGACACGACACAGAAGGGTTCCTCTCCCTCCACTCCTCCCCACCCTGGGGTGCTTGCCTTCGACTTATTGCTAGCCCGAAACCAGCGTCTCGAAGGCTGAACATTCAATGGCCCTTCGGCGCCAAAAACAACTTCGATGAGCCGCAATGCTCGGGGGTTCTTCTGCTTTTTCGAGTGAAACGCTACTCTCTCTCTCTCTCTCTCTCTCTCTCTCTCTCTCTCTCTAGATGTATCTCTTTGTTTTACCCCTCGGCTCTCCTCTGCGTTTGTTGTCGCCGCGGAAGAAGTGCAACGGGTGCGGCGTGGGGATACAGTTTTTCCTTCGACCTGGGTCGTTCCGAGACCCTGAGTTCGTCCTCGCCATCAGAACGGTAAGCCGCGCATTCTGCTGCTGCCGTGGTCCTGGTTCGACGTGAAGCGAACGGGGCAGCAGCAGTTCTGGTGTCTTTGCCGTACGTGCACATTCTACAGCAGCGGTGATCCCATTGCGGTGATCCCATTGACCAGAGCGACTTTTTTTGTCGGACATGCTGACCTTGGTCCTGACCTCGCTTTCGTAGATACTGACCTCTCGTTCGAACACGGCACAGCTTGGGGCCGTGCCAGCATGGTGCTGAATTTTCACGCCGAGTGTTGCTAGTATCCTGAAATTGCGCTCTTATGTGGGCAGGATTGATGTATCGGCAGAGAGAGAGACAGCAACCCAAGGTTTCCTAGCGTCCTTCTCAAGACAGACTCAGGAGGAGCGTGAGTGATTATTGGAAACTTCGTCTTTGTTCTGGTAGGGTTTTGGTGTTTGGGTGGTCTCGGAAAAGTGTGCTCGTCAGCAACACTGCTGTGTGGTATGCATACAGGTTTCCCGGGTTGGAAAGCGCGGTGAGGTTTTGTTGCCAGGCCCCTCGGTGCGATGAATGCCCGTCGCACCTCTGTCGCACTATATCCAAGTGTGCAACGACTGCAGATGTGTGCTTCTTGGCTGAATCTGGGGGCCGCTCTTTGCTTCGTTTTTGCGGAAAACCCGCGCCCTTCGTGCGACCGGGTGTGGCCGTCAAGGTGCCAACTTGTAGCCATACGCAGCTCTGACGTGGATAAGTCGCCCTACAGTGTACGCCAACCCTTGCGAATTTTTGTGGTCACGTTTACTAAACATTCCTCCCCCCCTCTCCCTCCCCTATCGAGGACGTGCGGTCAATGGTCCAACCGCTAAGGCACGCAAAACATAAGAGTACGCCCCCCCCCCCCCCCCCCCCCCCCCCCCCCCCCCCCCCCCCCCCCCCCCCCCCCCCCCCCCCCCCCCCCCCCCCCCCCCCCCCCCCCCCCCC